GGACACCTGTACTGGTTTTTGGTGGTAACGTGTTCCTGACGCTAGAATAGGAAACCACGGTAAACCAGTACGACGCCGGTACTGTCTGTAGGTCCTACAATGATATGGACTGCTTTGGCTGGTGAGGCGCTAGCGTCTGATACGACGTTTTTCCGTTTCTGTTTCTGATTTCGGCGTGCGCGCGCGAAGAAAAAACGAATGTGTCCCGCATGGTATTATTTGACAGGGATGATGGCCCTGGCAGGTGCGCAACCGTTGTCGCAGAAGTTCGAAAAAGTTGCTCGCAAAAGCCCGTTTGACAGAAATGTTTAAAAAGTGTTGGGTTTCCTACGAATCCGCAAGAGCGCGCGGGATGAGATTTTGACATTTTTTGTTGAAAAACCATTGGTTTTTTGATGTTTTTATGTTAAAATCGCTGCGAACACTAAGGTTTTGGAAGGATTTCGTCTTGCGCGCGCGAATGTCCACTTTACCTTATTTTTTGCAAGGGATTCTTGAAATTTGATTATATTAGAACAAGAAATGTCATTTTATAGTGTTTTTTGCAAGGGAAAACGGATTACAACAAAACAACCGGATCTTGATGACATCGTATTACCTGAGGCTTCCTCACGAAAATGATGAAAATGTAGCTGCGGCCTAGGCGGCGCAGGGGGGCCGTGCACCAGGGGCCCCAACAATAATTATTCTTTAGAATTAATAATGTTCAACAATTTAAGACGGTTCGCCCTTATATGCTTGAGTGTCCACTAACGCGTATTTCCCAAACCCTCGATACCCGCCCTCTTCGTCTTCGATCGGGCCCCTATTGGGGGATATACTTTTCTTCCCTGCAGGCCGGGCCCCGGCAAGCGGCGGGGCGGCCGCGGACCGTCGGCCTGGCCAGCGGCAACGCTGATCGGCGGGGCGGTCGCGGACCATCGACCCGACCCGAAGAGGGACGGACAGGGGACCGACCACGACGACGACGACGACGACGACGACGACGACGACGACGACGACGACGTCGAAGACGACGGCGGCGACGACGACGGCGGCGACGACGAGCGAAAGCGAGAGCGAGAGAGAACGACAGCAGGGCCACGAAGGGCACGAAGGGCCACGAAGGGCACGAAGTAGGCCACGAAGGGCGACAGCGGGGACACGAAGGGGATGCGTATGGGCCCACGAAGAGCGCGAACGAGGGGGGGCCACGAAGTGCAGATAATGCGGGGCCACAGAAGGCAACGATGGGGCCACTGAGGGTAGCAACTGGGCCACGTAGGACAGTGAGGGGGACGCAAATGGCGACAGCGGGGCCACGAATGCACATGGGGCCACCACGGGCGCGACTCCTGAGTGCCTGGGTGTCGGGAGCGTGGCGCTTGGGCAAGCAGTGCAGGAAATTCCAAAGCAAGGCCATTATTCAGTAAGTTGCAAGCAAGGCTCCAGCGAGAGCGCGACTCCTGAGCGCCGGGAAAGCGATTCGGAAGGAAGTCCCAAGCGAGAGCGCGAGTCCTGAATAAAATGCGAGGACGTCTCGGGCGGGAGCGGGGGTCCTGGCTAAATTGTAAGGAGGTCTCAGGCGGGAGCCGTTGTTGTTGTAACCCGTGGGCCAGGGGCCCAGTTTGAGCATCAAGACGTCCCCTGTCAAAAAACAAGGTGCGAGCGTCGAGGGGCACACTTTGATGGAGAGAAAAACGGTATGCACCGTTTGGGGGGGTCAACAATAATTATTTTGCAGAAATGAGAATTCATCAACAACAACAACAACAGCAGCAACAACAACAACAACAACAACGACGACGACGACGACGACGACGACGACAACAACAACAACAGCAACAACAACAACAACAACAACAAAAGCAACAGCAACAGCAACAACAACAACAACAACAACAATTTTAAGACCGTTCGCCCTTATATGCTCGAGTGTCCAATAACGCGTATTTCCCAAACCTTCGATACCCGCCCTCTTCGTCTTCGATCGGGCCCCTTTTGGGGGGTATACCTCTCTTCCCTGCAGGCCGGGCCCCGGCAAGCGGCGGGGCGGCCGCGGACAGTCGGCCTGGCCAGCGGCAGCGTCGGCCGCGGACCGTCGACCCGACCCCAAGAGGGACGGACAGGGGACCAACCACGACGACGACGACGACGACGACGACGACGACGTCGAAGACGACGGCGACGACGACGACGACGGCGACGACGAGCTCAAGCGAGAGCGAGAGAGAACGACAGCAGGGCCACAAGGACACGAAGTAGGGCACGAAGGGCGACAGCGGGGACACGAAGGGAATGCGTATGGGCCCACGAAGAGCGCTAACGACATGGGGCCACGAAGTGCAGATAATGCGGGGCCACAGAAGGCAACGATGGGGCCACTGAGGGTAGCAACTGGGCCACGTAGGACTGTGAGGGGGACACAAATGGCGACAGCGGGGCCACGAAGGGCATGCACATGGGGGCCTCAACGAGATTCGGTCTCTTTACAACCAGAACAACCACTTTACAACCAGATGGGTTACTTTACAACCACCATAGGATTGGAAAGTATGTTTTTTCATCGAGAACGTCCACTTTGCAACCAGAACGGCCCACTTTACAACCAGAACGGACCACTTTACAACCAGAACGGGCCACTTTACAACCAGAACGGACCACTGTACAACCAGCTCAGAGTGGCCATGCGTGTTTGGGCGTTCCGCAAAGTGCTCCAGAGCAAGTGGGCGCTCTCAGATGTGCTCCAGGGCGCGCGGACGCTCTGAAAAATGATCCAGAGCACGTGGGCGCTCCGGAGCCCGAGCGCCTGAACTCTCTGCGCAGGCCCCAGCGATGCCTCTGAACCCGAGCGCCTGAACGCCCCGCGCAGGCCCCAGCGATGCCTCTGAGCCCGAGGACCTGGACGCTCTGCGCAGGCCCCAGCGATGCCTCTGAGCCCGAGGACCTGGACGCTCTGCGCAGGCCCCAGCGATGCCTCTGAGCCCGAGCGCCTGGACGCTCTGAGCAGGCCCCAGCGATGCCTCTGAGCCCGAGCGCCTGGACGCTCTGGCGCTCTGAGCCCAGCAGACTAAGACAGGGCTTGCTAGCAGGGGCCAAGCGGCCTCAACAAGGGCCCCGTGCTCGCACGGGAATAAGGCGACAGCATACGTAGGAAGGCTCAGGGCGACGCGCTGCCCAGTTTAGGGATCACTCACAGGAAGCGAGCCCAGTGGCCTCCACAAGGGCCCAGCGCTCCAGGGAACTAGGCCATTGGCACCGCGGGTCTCTTGGGCCACGTTGGCCCCTGAAGCCCCGCGGTGTTCTGCAAGGGGCTAAGTGCGCCCGCTCCAGTTGGCCCCCTGCTGCTCCTCGTCTTGGAAGATCGAGGTTCAACGTCCCGAATAAATGCAACTATTTCGAAGATCGTTTCTTCCAGCGTCAGCCACGGTGCCAGCGCAGCAACGCAGGTATCGTGCTCGGGCAGCAGCCTCAGCCACCGTGCCAGCGCAGCAGCTTGAGCCACCGTGACAGCGCATCACCGCCACCTTTGTGCCTGCTACCACCACACTTACCGCTGCAGCCCCGCTACCTCCACAATTCCGACTGACCCCCCCCCCCTACTACCGCAAATCCCATTGCAGCCCAGCTACCACCACAGTTCCCACCGTTGCCTGGCGATCACCACAGTTGCCACCGCAGCTTCCCAACACCATGCAGTTCCTATTGTAGCCCCCGCTTCCACCGCATCTCCAACTACAGCTTTCCACTGCCATGCAGCTCCAGTCTTGGACGGGATCATGGTTTATTCGTATGTCCTGCGCGACTAGCCTTCGCCCGTCAGAAAAAAAAAAGCAGAGCAAGCAATGGCAGAACTGACCGACAGAGCTTAGAGAGCAGGTCAAAACTCGAATCCGCCCACCAGCACGCAACATGCCATAGCGCACCAGGTCGCCGCATCGCCAACTCCTGCGCAGTGCTTCTTCGTGCGCGATGGGCAACTTTACAACCAACATGCCTCGAAGAGCCCAAAGCCACCCTTGCGCTTGCCCACGGAGATTTCAGGGAAAGGCACGCGTGCATTCAATATGTGTTTTTTACTTGCCTGGTTGTAGAGTGCCCTTCCTGGTTGTAAAGTGCCCTTCTTGGATTTTATAAGCTGGTTGCAAAGTGACCCATCTGGTTGTAAAGTGCGCTTCTGGTTGTAAAGTGACCCACGCGCGGGCCACGACGGGCGCGACTCCTGGGTGCCTGGGTGTCGGGGGCGCGGCGCTTGGGCAAATTGAAGAAAATTCCAACGCAAGGCCATTCTTCAGTAAGTTGCAAGCAAGTTTCCAGCGAGAGCGCGACTCTGGAGCGCCGGGAGAGCGATTCCTTAATACATTGGAAGGAAGTCCCAAGCGAGAGCGCGAGTCTTGTATGAAATGCGAGGACGTCTCGGGCGGGAGCGGGGGCCCTGGCTAAATTGTGAGGAAGTCTCAGGCGGGGGCCGTTGTTGTTGTAACCCGGGGGCCAGGGGGCCAGTTTGAGCAGGAAGATTTTCCTTGTCAAAAGACAAGGTGCGAGCGTCGAGGGGCACACTTTGATTGAAAAAAAGAGTAAGCACCAGTGATGGGGGATCAAACATAATTATTTTTCAGAAATGAGAATCCAACAACAACAACAATAACAGCAGCAGCAGCAGCAACAACGACAACGACAACGACAACGACAACAACGACCAGGCCGAGTCGAATCGCAACGACAGGAAGTCCCGCACGGAATGGTTGTTCTTCTTTTGGGCAATCCACCGGCAGCGCCGCCGGAGAAGCCCAGCATAGGTCGCCCGCGCGCGAGGTCCATCGGGGGCCAGCAAATGATCTGCACGCTCTACATCGCGGGGAATTGCGCTGGCGAGGGTGCCGCCACCCGCGCGCGCGCCACGTCAAGATGCGCGGCCAGGAGTACCCGGCGCGCGAGGTCCAAACGGGAGCGCGAGGCCTGCCCCGCCCGAGCCGCGCGCCATCCCAGCGATGCTTCGCCGCCCGTTCAGCCTCGTTCACGTGCTGGGGCTGCCGCGGCGCCTGGAGCTGCGCGAGGTGCGACGCGATGCCCAGCGCCCGCGGGTTCGCTAGCTCGTCCGCCACCAGCGCCTGCAACGCCACAGAGGAGCTCGCTCAGCTCTCGCTCTGATGGCGCAGGCCCAGGCTGACAAATGTTTGGCCCACCAGAGAAGCGTCTGAGAACGCCCTTTCTGGAAATTTGCAAGGCGCGGGGTTCAAGGGCCCAGCGGGCGCGGCTCCAGCGCTGGCGCGGGCGACCCGCGCGATGGCGGGGTGATTGCAGCCTCGCGGCGCGAGCGGCCCCCCGCTCGTGTCGGAGAGCTTGGGGCCTGACAGTTTCCTGCTCCGCGCGGCGTCCGCGGTGCGCCCTCTGCCAGCGCCGCCGGCCCTGCAGGCGACAGCCGGCCAAAGCAAAAAAGCTAGGCGAGCACAACCTCAGTCCGCCTCGCGCAACGGGACGCCACGGGGCACCGCCGGACACCACGGGACACTTGTCGATCTCACAATCGATTTCACTCAACGGGGCACCACGGGACACCATGGGCCACCACGGGACACCGCGGGATCGGTCTCACTGTCGATCTCATTCAACGGGTCACCACGGGACACCTCGGGACACCGGTCGATCTCTTTATCGATCTCACTATCGATTTCATCTTTTGGGGCACCACGGGACACCATGGGACACCTCGGGGCACCACATCGATTTCATTATCGATCTCACCATCGGTCTCACGATCGATCTCGCTCAATGAGACACCGCGGGACGCCTGTCGATTTCACTGGCGATCGCACTATCGATTTCATCTTCTGGGCACCACGGGGCGCCTCGGGGCGCCGCTTTGATCTCAGCATCGATCTCGCTATCGATCTCACTCGCCGGGGCACCACGGGGCACCGCGGGACGCCGCGAGCCACCGCCGGACGGACGGACGGACGGGCGGGGGAGAATCATTTGTCTTGATTTCGCCTTAGCAGCGGCGGACATCACGGAACACCACGGGGCGCCGCGGAACACCGGGGGCCACCGCCAGACGGGCGGGCGGGGGAGGATCATTTGTCTTGACGTCGCCCTAGCAACGGCAGGTTTATTCTTCTCGCGCGCCCACGCAGCTCCGCCTCCCTCATACGGTGCCCCGATGGTGTCCCGATGGTGCTTCGATGGTGGCCCTTTGGTGCCCCGGCGGTATCCCAGTGATGTCCCATGGTGTCCCCATGGTGTCCCGATGGTGTTCCGATGGTGTCCCGATAGTGCCCCGATGGCGTCCCGATGGTGTCCGGATAGTGTTTCGATGGTGCCCCGATGGTATCCTGATGATCTCCCGATGGTCTCCCGATGGTGCCCTGACGGCGCCCCGATGGTGTCCCGATGGTGTCCCGAAGGTGCCCCGGTAGTTTTTTCAGCGATGTACCAATGGTGCCCCGACGGTGCCCCGATCGGATCGGGAACGGCTCGAGGTCGGTTCGGGGTCGAAATCGTAGCACATCGACTCGCAATCGAAAATCAAAGATCCCGACCGGTTCACGCCGGATCCTGGGCAGCCTGGCCTCGGTGATCTTGCGCAGCGGGCGCGCGATGACGCCCGCGAGCTCCAGGTCCACGCTCCTCGCAGCTCCGCTGAACCGGCGCCGCGCGTCTTCGCCGAAGAGGGCGGCCACCGCGCCGGCGGGCCATTGGAGAAGGGAAAGCTTGGCGAACCTGGACAGCACCCCCTTTCCCGGCAAAGCCCGGGGCGAGTCTTGCGTCAACCACGGCGGGCGCAGATCCCCGAGCAAGACAAGCTGGGCGAAATGCACCGCCCCGTCGGGCAGCTCCCGCTTGCTCTTGCCCGCGACGCACCCCCGAGGCAGACCCTTAACCTGGGCGCTCTCTCCCACGAGCTTGTCTCCGTGAGTAGGGTTCCCCATTGACCAACTCTGCGCGGATCGCCGTTGCCTGGAACGAAGTTCCCGTCGGCCCGTTGACGCGCCACCGGGGGCCATCGCTGGCAGAGCCTGGCGGGCCTGCCGGGTTGCTCTGATCCTTCCTCTTCTTGAGTGCGACCAGGCGGCGCGTCCGACAGTGGCCGTAAGTATGTGGTCTTCGCCGTGCGGTCGGTGCCCAGGCGCTGGAAGAGCTCGCCGAGCGCGATCGCCGGGCTCTTGCGGAGCCGCTCGCGGCAGGCGGCGCCTTGGCACGGCGCGATGCACCAGTTCCACTGCTCGGCCCAGTCTGGCATCATATCCATCCAGCTCCAGTCCGCATCGGAGTTCCGCTGCCCGAGGCTCACCTGCGTGCTGATGTCGAGGTTCGAGGCCTCTCTGTCTCGACCGCTAGGCCTGCCGTAGTCGTCCTGGTCTCGGATCCGCGCGCGGTTGCCGACGACTTCCCCGCTCTGGCAGCAGTATCACTGGTCGCTCGCCCAGTCGGAGCTGGCAGAGCCCTTTGCGGCGCGGTTACCAGCGGGTCTTGAGAGGACTGAACTCGACGACCTCCCCGGCGCGCAAGGAGACCAACTGGGTAATCGCCCTGCAAACGCTCTCCTCCGTCTGGAGCTGCTCTGCGCTCACCCCCTGGAACACATCGTCTGGAAGTTGCGGCAGCAGCGCCGCGTGCTCCGCGCGAGGCGGGCCGGAGACCGCCACGTCTACGTGTGCTTCTGCTTCGTCACCCAGAGAGACCTTTGCTGGGCCTCCTTGATGAACTGCGGCGGAGGCGCGGCCTCGGCCGCGGCGCTGGCAAAGCTCGGCGCCCCCGCCGGGCGCCACGCGCACTCGCGGTTGGAGAACATTGCCCAGGTGCGTTGTGTAAGCGCTGGGCTGGAACGGACCCCTTCCTCGACAAGCTTGCGTATCCGCATGAGTTTTGCCTTGCTGCGGATGTCTTCGGGGGCGTCGACGCTGCGGCGGCGCGCGTGCTCGACGCCCCTGGCCTTCATGGCCCGCATTTCGTTCAGCATGGCGTTCCGCGGCATGCCCTCGCCGTGGGCGGCGTCGAGGAACGCCTGGGCGTCGCAGAGCGCAACGCGGACCTCGACAGTCTCCGCCCCGCGCGCGCCCTGCTCGGCCGCCTCGTCAGACAGGTCCGCCCCGTCCGCGGCCAGCTCGTCGGCGACAGCGGGCGCGACCTCAACGCCGCGCGGCCGCTCTGGCCGCGTCGCAGTAAAGTCGACGTCCGCGTCCTCGTCGGGTTGCCCGCCGAGCTCCTCCTCGAGCGACTCGAGGCCGGCAGAGCCTGGCGCCGCGAACGCGGGCCCCTCGCTCCGTCCCAACCCACTCGCGCCCTCGACGGGCTTCTCGCCTTGCGCGTGCACTGCGCTGGCCGGCGGCTGCTGCTTGTCGCGCGGCAAGCTCGCGGACGGCGAGGGCGCCCGCTCCGTCGCCGCCGGCTCCTCCTGCCCGCGAATGCCCTCTGGCGGCGGCTTCGGCGACTCGAGGCTGGCAGAGCCTGGCCCCGCGAACGCGGGCCCCTCGCTCCGTCCCAACCCACTCGCGCCCTCGACGGGCTTCTCGCCTTGCGCGTGCACTGCACTGGCCGGCGGCTGCTGCTCGTCGCGCGGCAAGCTCGCGGACGGCGGCGGCGCCCGCTCCGGCGCAGCCGCTGCCCCCCCCCCCCGGCCCTACCCCTCCGGCAGCGGCGACGGCGGCGCCGCAGATGGGCCCCCCTGCGCGGGGGCCGCAGACGCAGCAGCGCCGCCGGGGGGCTGGCAGAGCGGCAGCCCCGGAACCAGCGGCCGCGGGAAGCCTGCCGCCGCTGGATCCGCCGAAGGCGGCCTGCAGAACGGATGCGGATAGTACCCGACCGGCTGCGCCCTGCCGGCGAGCAGCGGCTGCGAAGGGAGCCCCGTCGCCGAGCTGGGCCCCCGCTTGGGGGGCCGCCGCAGTGAGGCCGCGCTCGCTCTGCGGCGGGCTGGCGCCCCTGCTCTTCTCGGCAGGCCTGGCCCGAGGGCGATCCTGCTGGCTGGCGCCCGAACTCGCGCCGAGCGCGTCGCCCTCGTCGGAGCCCTCGTCGAGCGGCGCCCCGCCCGACCTTTCCAGCGCGCGCTCGGTGCGCTGTCGGGCTTGCGCTGGCAAGAGCTCCCTGCCATCCACTACGCGCAAGAGGACGCGGCACGCATCGGCGTGCAAGTGCGCGGGCGGCTCTTTGAAGCAGGCGGTCGCCGCGAAGTGGCGGCCGGGCGCGTCGCCCATGCGGTGATTGCGCGCGAGCTCGAACTCGAGTGGTGGATTGGCACAGCCTGGCGCCCGCGCCTTCACGTTCTGCTGCGCGGGTGGTGCTTGCTCGAGCTGCCCTGCGGCTTCTTCGTCGTGAACCATTCCACCTTCTCCGGCGATGGTCGCTGGGGGCCCCCAAGAAACGAAACATAAGGAGAAGCCTTATAAGGCCCCTCGGCCCTGGCCCCCCTGCCTGCCCCCAGGTGGCCTACCCCTTGTCTTCCAGTCAGCCGATCCTGCTGCGCGGGCTCCTTGCCCAGCGCGAGCCCCGCAGAACCGTTGACGCAGGCGCCTTGACCCCGCGTGCGCCTATTCGGCGCCGGCAGACCCTTGGGCCGACGAGGCACCAGGGAGCGCCCGCACAAGCATGCGCGCAGCGCCTGCGCCCGCCATTTGCAAAGTCGGAGGCGGATTCGGCCGCGCGGTCCTTGTGGCTGCTTAAACCAGACTACGGTGGAGATAGCGACAATGATGGCGCAACGTCGGTGCTGACGCCAAGTGCTGGCAAAGCCTGGCACCTGAGTGCAGTGACGACAAAGCGGCATCAAACTAGTAAGTAGCACATAGCAAGAGCCAGACTACGGTAGATATAGCAATGATGCATGCGAGCATTAGCGTGGTAATGAGGGTGGTCAGCGATGTTGAGTAGCATGTGAGTCAACAGTGACTACCAGAGCTACCGATGGAGTAACGATTCGTTAAGAAAAGAAGTGGCGAACACATTCTGAACATCTAAAGTGATTTGGTAAGAAATGATTCAAGTGATAAACAATGGAGTCATGAGATTGACAGAGATCGTGACATCGACAATGACATCGGCAGTGACATCGATCACGAGATCGTGGCATCGATAGTGACATCGATAGTGACATCGATGTGATAATCGTCAGTCGATCGTAAGATCGGTCGGGAGATCGACAGTGAGATCGATCGAGAGATCGATTGCGGGATCGAGAGTGAGATCGAGCATAGCATATCACGGGGCACCACGGGACACATAGCACGGGACACCACAGGACACCGCGTGACACCACTGGACACCGACGGGACACCGAAGGGACACCGACGAGACACCGCGGCGGGACACCACGGCGGGACGCCACAGGACACCCAGGCCTGGAAGGCGAAAAATTGGCCGGGACACCGCGGAACATCCAGGCTTGGGAGGCGAAAGAAAACGACACCCAGGCCTGGAAGGCGCAAAGAAGCCGGGACACCGCGAGCCACCGCCAGACGGGCGGGCGGGCGGGGGAGAATTATTTGTCTTGATTTCGCCCTGGCAACGGCGGGTTCACTCTTCTCGCGCGCCCGCGCAGCTTCGCCTCGCCCGCGCGCGCGACGCGGGCGAAACGAAACGATTTCCCGTTTCGGGTCTCCGTTCCACTACGATCTCACCCCCCAACCTCCAACGTACAACACATGGGATTGGAGCCGCTTCTGCGGCCTTCTGAGGCCTCCAGCTTCTGGGGCCGCTTGGGGCCTCCCGGTGCCTTCCAGGACCTCCTGGTGCCTCCTGGCGCCTCCTGTGGCCTCCTGGGGCCTCCTGGGCCTCCTGTTGCCTCTTAGAGTATCCTGGGGCCTCCTGAGGCCTTCTGGAGCTTCCTGGGGCCTCCTGGAGCCTCTTGGGGCACCCTGTGGAATCTTGAATATTCGCGTGATCTCTTGCGGCCTCCTGTTGTCTCCTGGGGCCTCCTGGTGCGACCCGCTGTTTGCATGATTTCAACAAGGTTTTTTGTTGAATTTCCTAGCGATTGGAACGCTATTGATCAGCAGTTTATTCATCATTATTTCCCACTGTTCTCTTTCATCGCATTCCCCACTCCACATCCGCCCCCCCTCCCCCCCCTCCTTCCGCGCCGAGGTTCTGGCTCCGATCAAACGAGGTTTCAGCCCACGTGGGGGGCCCTGAAAAGGGCGCGAAAGCTTTCCATGCGAAACTAATGAATAGCGCTGACTACATGGCCAAAAACGCATTGAACAATTTACGCCTCAGCCCCGAACGCAGCGTTCAATGGCGGAGGGCGCCCGCGCGGCCGCAGCGAAGCTCAAGAACCGCCCTGGGCAGGCAGCCAAAAAAGCACCAGGCCGACGCAGACAACCTCAGGATCTCGTGGGTCGGTGTCAAAACCCAACAATTAAATCTTATATGTGTTTTCGCGAACTGATACGTAAACTCATTGTCTGCATTTCCGCAGGAGGCGGTTCAACACGCATTTGCGCAACGCCGAAACTGCCAAGGACGACGCCAAGGCCAACCGCGAGGATGCCGAGCGGGCGCGGGCGGAGGCGAAATTGTGGAAGAAGAGTTACTTGGATCATCGCCGGCGCAATCAGGCGACATATTCCCCCTTGCAACAAAGCGTTAATATTGTTGTGTTGCTGGCGAGTCCTCCATGCGTCGCCGGCTTGCGTTCCCTCTGAGGAGAGGAAGGGGCGAGAGCAGGCGGAACAGAAACTGGCCGCGACGGCGGCGAAACTGAAATCAGCGCCCCCCGAGATCCGCGAGAACATGAAGAGGGGCGAAGAGCTGCGCAAAGAGAAGAAGCGCAACGCGACCTCCAGCGCCACCTGCGCGTCGCGCAGGCCAGCTATTACGCGGCCAGAGACCTCGTGAATTCTGCGAGGCGTGAGCAGCGCTGAGAGCCTTGCGAGATGCTCTCCCAGAAAGGATGCTCATTTTCCAGAGCCTAGCGAGATGCCTCGCTGAAAAAAAGGCATCCCATTTTCGGGCCCCCACTCAGAAAGGAGCGACGAAAGGAGCCGCGAGGGGGCCGCGAGAAGGAACGCAACCCCACTTGAATGATGCACGCCCTTATCTCGCAAATGATGCGTTTCACGCACTTATTGCTGTTTTTTGGGGGAAATGTGAAAAATCATGTTTTCAATGCGTGTTTGCTTTATTAGTTGTTTTTCATTCAAAACGAACAAAATTGAAGGAGAAGGAGCGCAACCCCGCTTGGGTAACGCGCGCCCTTATCTCGCAAGTGATGCGTTTCGATCAGTTAGTGGTGTGTTTTGGGACATCTGAAAAATCGTGTTTTCAATGCTTGTTTGCTGTATTCGTAGTTCTAATTCAAAGCAAGCCAATTCAAGGCGGCGCAAGCGAGCTCCGCCGAGCGTCGAGACGCGTGGATATCAGTCGCTGCCCCTGGAAATCCCCACACTCAAAATTAATGTGTCATCCATGTACCAATTGATTTTGATTATGGAGAATTCCAGAGGCAGTGCTTGGGCAAGGTTACCAGGAAAACAGGAAGCAACAGGAACACCAATGCAGCATTCGTGTTTTCACATGGAAAATATTAAAAACCAAAGAAAACTTTTAACTGACAGCATGTGTCTCATTAATAAAAATGGCGACAGGCACGTGTTTTCTTTTGTGTATTTTTCTTATTTTCCCTGTGGATAACAAACGTTTTATTGCTTGTCGTGTTGTTTCTTCTTTTCCTGGTAAGCTTCCGCGGTCCGAATGCGCTGCGTCTTAGATTCCCCGCGCTCAAAAATCATTTGTAAATCGATTACACATTGATTTTGGTCGCCGCTGCCTCTGGAAGTCCCAGCAATCAAGAGTAATGTGTCATCCATTTACACATTGATTTTGGTCGTGATGAAGTTTAGGGGCAGTGCTTGGGCCGCGGAAAGCTTACCAGGAAAACAGGACAACCAGGAAACACACAATAAACAGCACATATTTTTCAAATGGAAAAATAGAAAAACCAGAAGAAAACTTGTGACTGTCAGCATTTTCATTTGTTTTAAGAATACACATGGCGACAGTTAAGGTTTTCTCTGGGTTTTCTTATTTGCCCATGTGAAACACATGTTTGTTTTTGAGTTTCTTGCTTCCTTGTTTTCCTGGTGAGCTTCCGCGGTCCGAAGGCGCTGCGTTTGGAATTCTCCATAATCAAAATCAATGTGTAAATGGATTGCGAATTCATTATGATTGTCGCTGCCTCTGGCAATCCCCACGATCAAAATCAATTTGTAAATCAATTACGCATAGATTTTGTTTGTCGCTGTCTCCTTAGACAATTTGTAAAAGCAGACTCAACTTGTAAATTGAGTTCAACTTGATTTGGGATGCGGGGATTTCGAATTGAAGTTGATTATGGTGCTGTTGAAATAAATTGTCAGGGGGAGGATTGCAACGTTAAGTATCGTTGTTAAAATCAAGAGAAACATGTGGTTATAATCGCACGAACGGCGGGTTCTATTGGGGCCCCCTGGCGTCTGCCGGAGCCTCCCGCGGCATCCCGGGGGGGGGCCCGCTCCTGCGAGTCTGGCCGCCAAAGAGGGCAAACCGATCGAGATATCCTCAAATTCTGGCCCCGGTTGGAGGCAAAAGTGAGCGCCTCGCTCGAGGCGCCCTCCAAATCTGCCCCGAAAGCGGAGGATGTCGGGCCGCGAAGCAGGCGAGCCGCCCGAGACTCCCCGCCATTTTGGCGCGGACGGAGGAGTGCAATGCTCCTTGGCCGCCCCCCCCTCGGGGGCGCTGAAATCCGCGCCTCGCTTGAGACATCTTCCAAATCTGCTCCGACAGCAGATGGTATTGGGCCACCAAACTGGCAAACCGCTCGACGCATCGCCGATGCATCGGTGACGCGGCCCGATCCTCCGACCCCATCTTCGCCGACTCCATCTAGGAAGCCTCCAGTGAGGACGTTCGCGGAGGTCGAGACATCCCCGCCATGTCGACGCGAACGGAGGAGTGCAGCATCCCCTGGCGAGGACGTTCGCGGAGGTCGAGACACCCCCGCCATTTTGACGCGAACGGAGGAGTGCAGCACCCCCTGGCGGCTCCCCCTTCGGGGGCGCTGAAACCCGCGCCTAGCTCGAGACATCTTCAGAATCTGCTCCGCGATCAGCATCATCGTCATCATCATGATCCTCATCATCACCATCATCATTGTCACCATCACCAGCACCATCATCACCATCATCGGCAACGACATCATCACCACCAACATCAGCACCACCACCATTATAATTGTCATCACCACAGTCTATCATAGCATATCATAGCATAACCCACTACACCATCGTATCTCATACCATGACATACCAAACCATTCCATATCGTAACACATCATAGCATACGGTGTCATGATATGTCAGCGCATACCATAACATAGCACAGCCCAACCTTGCCGAGCCTAGCAACACGCCACCTAATACAACATGGCATAACATAGCGCAACATACCATACCATGAGGAGGAGGAGGAGGAGGAGGAGGAGGAGGAGGAGGAGGAGGAGGGAGTGGATGAGTTGGCGCGGTCGGAGGCGACGAGGAAAGGAGAGGAGGATGATAAGAGGAGGAGCAGGGGGACTAGGAGGCGTATCAATAATAATAATAATAATCACATCTTAGGGTATCGCGAACTAACCAGAACGAATTTGAATCGAGCAGCAGTAAACGAATAAACTTACACGAGCGAAATTACATTCGAGAGAACAACGGTGAATGGTTACCAAGCGGGCCCCTCGCGCGCGCAAGTCGGAATCGCTCGGGCGCCCTTGCGCGCGTGTTGTCGCAAGAACCCCTTGCAACGCACGGGACGAAGTGCACGCGCGCGCGTCGACGCGCGCGCGTACCGAAATCCTCCAGCAACCCCTGGTTGCGTGGGGAGTTCAAATTCGAATGCCCCGAAACAGCTTAAACACACATGGTTGTGCAACATCAGTTTTCCAAATCGCCTGCGTTCGCGCTCCTTTTTGAATTCGACCAAACGGGCCCTTCGCGCCGCGCGTCGAAATCATTCGAACGCCCTTGCGCGCGTGGGGCACGTTCCGTGTCGCAGTATATCATGCGGGCCACTCGCGCGTCGGCCGCGCGCGCATGTTGAACTCCCTCCAAAACCTGGATCACCGACGCGAGGGCGCCGTCATCGTCGTCGGCGTGATCAGCCTCGGCGCTGTCACTTGCCTTGCCGTCGTCGCTGTCACCTTCGCCACCAGCATCGCTACCAGCATCGTCGCGTCTAGCGTTGTCGACGTTGCCATGGTACCGCGCCCGCCCAAGTCGCCGACTCGCACTGAAGTGCCCGCTGGGAAGCGCCCGGCGGTCGGCGTCACCGCGGTCGCGTCGGTCGCGCCAAACTAGTTGGCCGCCGCGCGCGCAAGCATGCGCGGGCCAGCATGGCCTCAGAGATGCACCAGCCAACTCCAAGAAATCATTGCGATCGCCGCCGCATGGGTTCTGCAAATCAAGCTGCGGGCGTGCGGGTGGGAAGATTGCGTGAGCGGTGGAGTGGGCATCTCGCTGCAAACAGACATTCGTTGCACCGCAGAGATTGCGCCGAATCCCTACGCGGATGAATTAAGAGTTCTTGATGCCAGGCCCGCCCCCAAATTGATTCATTAAGAACCCGCGGTTCCCCCCTGATGCTTCCCGCAGCTTTCCGCCCTCGACATCGCCCCCCTCCTCCTGCTGTGCCTCTGCCGCCGTGCCCCTCTTCCATGTTGCTCCTCCCGCTCCGCCCTCTTCCTGTTGCAGCGACCTGTCCTTTTCCCTCGCCCCTCGTCCTCCTTAGCAGTTGGGATTCTTGGGGGAAAGAGGGGGGGAGGGACACCGTATCTCTTGGTTTTCGGCCCACCCCGCCACTGTGCTTGGCTTATGGACCAGGGGCTGTTTGGACAGATGGCGCGGCGCAAGTGGTGCCAATAGTGTCTGGTTTGTGGCCCAGAGGCCATTTGCACCTACATGGCGGGGGTCTTTCGAGTACCTTCTAAAGGTGGAAGAAGGTGTTCTGTAAGAACATCTTTCCGCGTTTGATGCGTTTCTGGTCTTCGCGTTTTTTCTTCGCCCGGCTATTACGCGCGCCCCGTGTTATCAGTTTTCCGTGGCATTCGTTTCCCGCACACATGCTATTGTGTTTCGTGTAGTTCGTAGTGGTTTCCGTTTTTTGTCATTCTCGTGTCAGGAGAAAGTAAAGGTGAAGTAATGAAAACGCGGTTATCCATGATATGCGCATCCTGGCATTATTCGCTCTTGGTTTTCTTACACGGATCTGTTTTTCTCAGGTTGTCGCGGGTATCTTCGTCTCAGTCTCGCGATTTGTTATACTACTTCGTCTTCCTAGGTTTACGCTTGTTTCGCGTTTTTAGTTGTTTTTCCTCGACAGCGCCTTGTTGCTCGAACTTCGTGTGCTCTTCATGCGTTTCGCGTTTTTTTACACTTCTTGCGCGCCGTTCGAGCACTTTATGCTCTTCGGCCTCTCGTGCGCTTTGCTGTTCGCATTTTTCGCGCTTTCCCAGTTTTTCTCACTGTTCGCGTTTTTCTGTTTTTCGTACGCTCTTCGAACGCTTCGCACCACCTCGCATACTTTTCCGCACTGCTGTGCTTGTCTACTTTTCGAGTTGTTTCGCCCTTGTCGCACTCTTCTGCTTTTCTATGCTTCGCGCTTGTCGCACTTTTCTACTTTCCTGCTTCTCATACCTTTCGCACTTCTCTGCTTGTCGGGGCGGCCTCCGCTTATCAAGGTCCGGATCTAAGCAGCACGGCTCCTCCTCTTCCTCCCCCTCTTCTAGAGGCCTCCTAGATGGGGTCGGAATAGATGGGGTCAGAGGATCGCGCCGCATTGCCGATACATCGGTGATGCACCCCGGCGATGCATCGTCGATGTCGGCGATACATCGGCGACGTCGACGTGAAGCAAATCGGGCCCCACATCGAGCCGCATCGGCGATGCACCGGTGATGCGGTGCGATCCTCCGACCCCGCCTGCTCCGACCCCATCTAGCAGGCCTAGATCTTCCCTCCCCCAACCCCTGACCTGGAGGCTTTCTCCGAAGGGCTTAGGCGGCCCGTCCTCCTCCTCCTCCGCCTCCTCCTCCTCCTCGGGTCGCCTACGGCCCCGGGGAAAACCGTGCACCCCGGCCCCCCCGCCTCCCGCCACCATGGACTGGCGCGACGTGGACTGGGGAGCCGCCCTGGCGCGCGTCATGGGCGGCGCCCCCTCTCCCTCGTCGCCCTCGCTCGAGCAGCTGCTGCAGGCGGCCGTGGACTCGATGCAGGAGCCGTCGTCGTCCTCCTCTTGCTGCTGCTCCCCCTGTTCCTGTTCCTCCTCCGCCTCCTCCTCCTCCTCGTCCTCCTCCTCCTCCTCCTCCTCCTCCTCCTCCTCCTCCTCCTCCTCCTCCTCCTCCTCCTCCTCCTCCTCCTCCTCCTCCCTCCTCCTCCTCCTCCTCCTCCTCCTCCTCCTCCTCCTCCTCCTCCTCCTCCTCCTCCTCCTCCTCCTCCTCCTCCTCCTCCACATGTCCACTGCTCCCTGGGCAGGCCCGTCCTGAACCCAGGAGCTGTGCATACGCCCTGGGGCCAGCCAGGTTGGGTGTTGCGTGTACACCGCTGCTGGGTTCAGGACAAGCCTGGCCAGGGAGCAGTGGATATGTATAGGTATCGCCTCCTGAGCTGTGCTATGAGCTCCACCACGATTCCGTCATTCATTCTGCCTTCGCTTTCTTGGGTGGGAGCACTTGGGAGGACAATGTGCGGCTCCGTGCATGCATGTTATGGCGAGGCAGTGCTTCTGTGACGTTCTGGAGGTTTGCCAAGATCATGCCACGTGTGATGGCAGGTGGTGTGACAACGAAGCAGCATATTCCCACGCTGTGTCATCTTCAGACCTTGGCCCCGTGCTGTAGCTTTCGCCAGCTCGGCAGTCGGGATGAATTTGAGAGGCATGTCCTCGTCTTGCTCTCCATCGCCATCCCATCGGGCACTGTGTCAGGGGGTGCTTGAATGTTTCCTACACCTGTGTGTCAGGGAGTGCCCTCTCCCCCGCGACGGCGCAGCGCCCCGCCATTGCCGCGGCCGTCGGGCAGGGGGGCTTGCGCGTGGTGCGGCGAAGGCGGCGCGCAGGTCGCGAAGCTGCCACCTCCCCGAGGTGTAGATAGCGTGGGCCCTCCGTCGACGATGGGGTGCTTGGAGAGAGGCTGGCTGTAGTCATAGAGCTTCCGCGACGTTCAGAGGTTTGTCTCGTGCTATCCTCCCCCCCTCCCTCGTCCTCCTTCTTCCCGGCCCCCCTCCTCCCCTCTGCCTCCCTCTTGCGTCCCCCTCCTCCCAGCCGCCGTCCCGGTTCGAGGGTCTTGTCCTTTGCCAGGCAACGGTGGCCCTTCCTCGGGACAGCAGCTGAACGCGCCGACCCGCTACCCAGCGATAGTGAGGTCGGCCGTGCCGCGCCTGTCATCACAGGCTCGCGCGGAGCCGCCGCGCAGATGCGGCTCGCCGAGGCCGCGTGCGAGAACCCGCCTGGCATCGGCGCGCCAGGGAGCGTCGCAGCCAAGCACAAACGTTAGTTCGTTCTGCCACTGCCAGGGTCGCCCTTGCAGCACATCGCAGCAGCGGCGGAAACATGTTAGTGCATGGCGTCGATCCGACTCACGATTTTGCTCACATGTGGTACGAAACGTATGACCAATGGTGTTCTACCTGTTGCCGCAGATCCAAGGCACGTCGTAGTCGTCGGGATCGTTCCACATCGCGGTTCCCATCATCTGAACCCTGAGGTCGCGCGGACATCAACAGCCAGGACTCTTCGTTGCCCACGACTTCGCAAGCGACAGCGACCGCGCAGACGACACCTCTCTCCGAGGCTCAACAACACAAGCTTTGGGTAGAGATGCCATCGGCGACAGCAGCGAGGGAGGCTCACTGTCAACGCATCAAGACGGCCATGCACGCTGTCGTGCAGCCGCTGAAGGCCAAGCCCGCTCCCGGGGTGGTCAGTTGCAAGAGTCTGGCGCCGAGCACAGTGTCCTGCGGATTACGCACTTGCACGCTTACCTGGCCAAGGCGCGAGTCTCGAGCCAGACGTCGCGCATTACTCGCGTCATCCGTCGCTGCGAGGAGGCTCAGGAGGTGGAGAGGGAAGCAGAAAACAGGCCACGCGCACTTCCTTAGGAGAGCTGGCCAACACGGAAAAACCAAGAAGATCACTTTCGAGGAGGGGTGTGCAGTTGGTGAGCTACTCCCAACCTCTCCGCTCCATCCAGTGACGCCAGTCGCTCCGCAAGTCGTCGCAGATATCTAGGCAAGTCAAGCAGAACTCCGTATATCACTGGCGCAGCTAGGTGGCACACTCAATTCTTTCAGGTCGCCCTCAGCTGTCTCGAGACCGTGCCATGTACGGACTCTGCAACGGCAACAACACCAGCAGCAGTAGCCGCAAGCACAGCACCGTCTACGGGACCATCGCCACCAGTTGCAGCATCGGCAGCACCGAGATCAAGCAAACCTTTGCACGTTGGCAAGGGCGGTGTAACCAAGCAGGGCAAGGTGACAGCGGCAGCCAAGCAGCTCGAACGTGCGGCCGCCATTCCAGGTCAGCAGAGGTTTGCCGTTCGAGGTCGTGGTCAGGTTGGCGCCAATGCTCCAGTTCCCGACGGAGACAGGAGGAGGACGAGCCCCCCCACAAGAGCAAGCGACCCCCGCACCAGGGCGACGACCAGTTCATGGAGGATGCTTTGGCCACGGAGGGAGATCGCCCCCCTCGGCGCCGGTGGCCAGCTGCTTTTTCGAGAACCGTAACTATTGGGTCCTCGCCAAGTTCCTGCACTACTCTACCGTTCAGGCTCTCCCTAGGATTTGGGGACTGCACGAGCTCTTCGACATCGCGGATGCCCGCATCTATGCTGACGGGTCTGGCGGATCGAGCCAAGCCTTCATGGTCTTTTGCTGTCTTCGTCAAAGACAGTGCTGGCAACGTGGCTCTCCTGGGTTTCGAAGGCGGTCTTTTGGATCCAGAGGTATCCCACTGGGGCACCTCTGAATCCAAGAGAAGCCACATGCTAGGATAACCCCAGCAATTGGTTGCTCTTGCTGCTTAACTCCAGAGGGCTCAATAGCATATTGCCTGGCCCTTGCAGTCTAAGCTTGCTAGTCTCTGTCACGAGTACCGCTTGCACGTTCGTTGTGAGAAGGCTGAAGCACTCGAGGTGGAGCGTTGGGCCCATCAGAATCGAACGTGCGAGTATGCCTCGACTGCTCGGCCAAAGCTGCTCCTCACTTCGCGTTTCGCACTTCGTGGAACCACGCGGCTTGGCACTCGGCCCAGCCTTGGAGCGAGCGCGTGGACACAATGGCTACACTCGCCTCGCTCGGTATAGGAGACATCCCTGTCCCGGGCTCGTCATGGCGCGGCTATCTCGCGTCCGAGGCAGAGCTGCCGCGGCTGCGGCTTCGCTTCGAGGCCCCTCGGGCGCGTGAACAAGCCCCCCCGCCATCGGGCGAGGCAATGCCGTGCTTCCGACAGGGCCGTGTTTGTTACCGGTTCCGTTTTGCCGTTTTTTTACCGGTTCCGACGCCGTTTTTTTGCCGGTTCGAGATCGCTGTGGAGAAGACGCCAGCTTTCGTTCGCGTGCCCCGCTTTTCGGTCAAGATAAAGCTGTGGACTGTTTTTGCCAAGTGCACTTCTCTCATCCTCCCAGGGGCTCACGATCGCAGCCGTTCACTACTTGCCTTTGGGCCCCGCCAAGTCCAGAACCAACGACAATTTCAGACCCGCTGGGCTCTGCTCGTCTCGGGGGAAGAAACAGCCAGGAGCGCCCTTCTCCAAGCAAGAGCTCATTATGGCTGGTGCCGTTGGAGTCAGGGCTCCTCGGCCCGCTGCCTCCACGGCTCAGCCTCGCCGTGCCGCTCGCGCAAATGTTGGCGCCAAACGCCGATATTGGTATTCGCTCTGAGTCGACGCGCAGCTTGAGGTGCTCCCTGGTGTTGAGCTGCTGCACATGCATTGCTGCGTGCTCGCAGCCAGTGCCAGACTTCAGCTCGCGGCATTGCGCGCGTATTCTCTGTCGCTCGAAGCGCCGGTGGCCCATGCGCCACGCAGAAAGAAGTCTGAAGCATTATTCAGCAGCTGGTGAGAGGAACTGGCTAGCGCCATTCACTTCGCGCGCGTCTCCCTGCAGCGAGCTAGTGGGACTCACCAGCGTCACTGCACGCGTCGGTTCGGAGTTGTCTCGCTACATGGGGCCCATGGCGGCCAAGTTTCATCGTGCCCCTGGAGGCTACTTCCACGGGGTTCTCAAGGGCTCGGACCTGTTTGGGCCCCCACCACATTCCTGGGTTTTGTTCGGGTTTCGGCGGCTAGTTGGTTCCCTCCTGGGCCCCGCGGGCATGCCCCTGGCAGGCGCATGCGCCCGCCCTGCTCATTTGGGATATCCGTGGAAGATCAACGGGTGGCCTCGGACGTCGATCTGATTGTCTCCATATTGGAGCATCTCGTGGTGGCCGCGGTCATTTTGGCGCCCCTCGCCACGGGCCGCCCCTCCCCCGGCGGAGCGCGCAACGTCGAGCTCGACGCGTCAGGTGTGAACGACCCCGAAGCTGTTCAAGCTCTCGTGAGTCGGCCGCGCCACGGCCCTCTGGCCCCTTCGAAGCCCCCCATGCTCGACGCCAGCAGGACACTTGCAAGCACGTCGACAGGCGCCCCTTTTCTCCTCGTCCCCTGCACCTCCCTGTCGTCCTCCTCCTCCTCGTCGCTCTCCCCCTCCTCCTCCTCCTCCTCCTCCTCCTCCTCCTCCTCCTCCTCCTCCTCCTCCTCCTCCTAGTCCGCGTTGGAGGCTCAGGCACTTTGAGAACCGACGGAAAGAGGAGTTGCTGAATGTCTCTCGCAACGACCGCCCCGCAATCGCACGGGCCCGAGAGGTTGTTCGGGGGGCGTGGCAGATGGATGGCGATTGCAGCATTCTTGACATGGGCACGGATGAAGCTGGCATTCTACAATCTTCTTGCAGCGAACGAATACCACGGACAGATTGGAAGAGATATGCAGTGCACTACGAGAGTGGGATGTGATTGTGCTGACAAGGGGCGCGCTAATGGGCTGGGTCAGAGCCGATGAAGAGGATGAGCCACCAATGCCATGCGGCTCTGCAGTTCGGGGGAAAGAAGGGGAAGTTGATTAACAAGACATGTGGTACGACGTTCATGATTACAAGCGAGATGATGACAGACAGGGCCTTCCACGCGCAGGACTCACCTCCTGCCCAACTGCATGGTAGAACTGCAGGTATCACATCGAGGACAAGAGCGCACGACGTCACGAGATTTGCAGTCTATTTACCGCCAGGTAATGGGTACACGAACAATGGAATGATTTCAAAAAAGTACGAAGTGGGTCGCGGAGAACGACGCGGGTGGCAGATCTATTCTGATCGTGGGAGGGGACAGCAACAGCCAGTTGGGAATGCACAGGCCAGACAACGGGTGGTCAGCAGGCACAGTTCGAGCAAACATGCAGCAGCCTTGGGGCCAGTGGCTAAGAAAGTGGAGAACGACAGTGGCACGGCATTCAGGGAATTTTGTGTTCAAGGCTGACTGTCGGTGGTCACGGCTTTCACCGATTGTGGGCCTGCTTATTATTGTGTGAAAAACGAGAGGACTATGTCGAGCAAGGTCGACCACGTTGCAATGCCGACGGGGGCATTGCCCCGCGCGCGGAGGTGCGCAGCATTGTGAGAAGTGGTAAAGAAACTGAAGAAGATCAAAGCGAGAACGCACAATTTGATATCGGACTGGAGCGCCAATTTGATTTTTCGGGCAAGCACAGGCAGCAGAGAGCAGACAAGGAAGGGCACCGCAACATGCTGATGGAGTGCTTGGGGAAAGGTCGACGGAGAGCAGAAGTCTCGCGCGCGTGCGACCGCCGCCTGCAGGCCGCCGAGTCGCAGCAGCCAAGAGGAGCATCGGCGAGGTCCCCTCGGCGCGCGACCCAGGCTGAGCCTCCAAGTGGAGCGTTGGCGAGGTTCTCTTCGGAGTGCATCGCAGGAGGGCCCTGTGGACCCCCCAGGAGAAGCATTCGCGAGGTTTTCCCGGCGCGCAACTCGAAGGGGGATCGAGGCAGACGAAGCTCGGGGTGGACTGCATGAGCGCCCTGCAGCAGAACAGATGTGGAAGAGATGGAGTGAGACGGGCAGAAACGCGATGAGAGGGGTGTTCCCGATCAAGAAGAAGCAGGAAGACAAGGGGGTGGCCGCGTTCCAATTACTGCGACACCCCCTACTGGCTGAGGGGATGAAGTTAAGAGTGGACATGGTAAACTCAAATGCGCCGGAGAGATAGGAGGAGATCAAACAGGAGCTTGCGCAGATACAGGATGTCTTGCGCAAACACAGGATGGAGCTGGACAGTGGAATGAAGAAGCCAGCTGAAGAAATATGGAGCGTATACGAGAACGATAACTTCAGCGAGATGCACAGGCTCAGGGTGGAGTATCAGAGGAATGGGAGAGGGCCAAAACAATAGTATTTCTCAGCACGGACTCGGTGGAGCACGGAGGAGTGGCTAACCGAGCTGGGCAAGCGCCCCCAGGAAGGGGGGGGGTGGGGGGCGGCAGCCGAGCCGATGGACCTGGGGGAGTATGAGAAGGAGCATGGCGATATGATTGCAGGGAAAACGCCGCTTCCACTGGATGCGGCGTTGAGAGCACAAGTGGAGAGGGGCAACAGAGACATGCTAACGTACTGCAGGAAAGCGGCAGGAAGGCGAGCCCCCCCCCCAGTGGGGTGTAGAATTTACTTGGATGATACTAGAACCCGCAGTCAACCTGGAGGACCCCGAGCAGCTGAGCGAGAAGCTGGAGAAGCAATGGGCCCGAGCGGCGGAGAAGCGCGATGACGAGGAGGACTTGGGCGAGCACAGCGCGCTTTACACATGTAGATTGGGAAGGTCTACGCTACAGAAGATGGGTAGGATATCAGGCAGGGCGCTGGGCAGGGAAGAAAAATGGGCGATGGCGAGGCATTGGGGGCGACAGAAAAATGCGTGCCACCTGGGGGGGCGCGGGAAGGCTGGACTGGGATCTTCGGCACTGAAAAAAAAAGCAAGCATGGGGTGCAGGAGCATGTAGGAGGATATGCTCATCAAGCGTCGTCAATTGCAAGCTGCGCCATTGGAATGGCACAGATCTATTTCATGCTCAGCGGAGAAGGGCAGACAAAAGAAAGGAATCGGATGGAAAAGAGCCATGCTTGCTTTCTGATCAGTGGGAATGGCTTTTCACAAGGGTATCCATTCCACAGGAAAAGCACCGAAGCACCCGTGCCGGGCGCAGGGAGGGCTGAGGAACAGGTCGAGGGATAATGCGATGATTTGCGTTGAAGCTACAAAGTGGGGGGCAAGACAAGCAGGAGCGACTATCACCGCAAGCAGCTACGACTGCACGAATGTGGCATCAGTCTTCGCCACGTCGAAAGAGGAGGGCTCGCGATTTGCGGTCGAGGCGCTGCACTACGCGTCTATGAGTATAGAACGCGCAGACGATTGGCTACATGCAAGGACTACGAGAGGAGCGCAAACGGGGCTTACCTTGTGCCCAAGACAGTCCAACGACGTTTCCAACCTGCACGTGGGGCAATGGCGCCAGGAAGAAAGAGAGCGGGGCGAGATGCAGACATCGCATGATACAGTGGGCCCAGTCAACGAGCAGGAGCGCGACATCTCGCTCAACGCGTTCATGGGCGACATCACCAAGACCCACGCGATGGCCTCGTCGGGCCCGCTCCTTCTGGCACCTGCAGCTAGCGAGGCAATCTCGGAGCGCCGGGTGGGGCTCGGCGAACGCGAGGTTATCTAGGTTCGCGCAGGCTCCCAGGTCCATTCGGCTCTAAGCGGACGCGTGGTTATCTCGGTTCGCCCAAGAGCCCGCGCGACAAGAATCGCAGAGCAGACCATCGCCACCACTCAGCGCTTGGAGAGCAAGCTGGAAAAAGGGAGATGGAGCCTGAACCCAGCCGAGACCGACCACCTGATGGCTTACGGGGACCAGGGCCAGATGTGGCCACAAGGCAGCTGCAGGGAGAGAAGAAGATCAAGGGCACGCCGGTGAAGGGGGATGAGCATTAGGTCCGCGCCTGCCAGGAGCTCAAGAGTGCTCAGGAGAGACAAGGAGGAGGCGCGAGGCCATGCAGCTTGTCAACAGGCAGTGCGGGCGCTACTGGTCTTCAGATACTACAGACAAAATAAAGAAGGACATGTCCCAGGCGGCTAGGCGTTTGCGGCGGGGGCGGGCCTCAGCGGGCTGACGGCGCACTTGAGAGCACTGGACAGTACGATGGCACCCCTTGAGAGAAGGATAACAGGAGGCAGGAAAAGCTGGGTGGAGGACGGTGCAACCAGGTGCTATGCCAACATGGTGGCGTTTCAGGAGATGGAGGATACCGCGCTGCTCGACGGCCCCGAGGATGCGCAGGTTGCGGTGGTGCAGAACATGGGCGCAATATCCAGAGGACTTTGGCAGCGTGCTGGCGGCGGTTTTTAGGGCGCCGGGTTTGGGCAGTCTCTGCCAGGTCAAGAGAATGGAAGATGGATGGACATGCGAAGCTTCTACGCCATGGGCCAGGCAGGCGGCCGGGGACTTTCAGGCGCTGGCGGGGGTCAGCGAGCGCGCGGGGGGCGGGTGCCCGAGGAGGGAGTCAGGCATCTCAATGTTCAAAAGAGGCACGGGATTGGGGAGCGCTGGCGGGTTTGGACCCCAGTATCTTGCGCCAGGCGGGGGAAGCATGGGACACAGCGCAACCTGACATTGCGGTGCGCGGAGAGGTGGTGGCTGAGTTTTGGCGCGATTGGCAAATTTTGGGGCAGGGGGGCAGGCGCGCGGGGCACAATTTACTATGGCGGCGGCGCTGGCAGGGCGCAGGAGGGGGGCGCGCAATTGTCTTCCTCTGATCCCCAACCTGGTGATGACGAATCATTGCCCCTGGTGCATGAGCTCGTTTGCGACGAAAAAAAACACGACGGGCCATGTCATGAGAGCGGCGGGGAGTCGCGGGATATGATACAATAACAGGAGCTGCTGCAATCATCCCGCGCGCGAGCCCCCCTTCCTTCACTTGTATTCTCCGTGCCTTCCAGGCTCAATCTGTGGAGGTATTTCAGATGCGTGTTCGCCGCCGCCATCCCGGACCGTGCTGCGCGAAAGATGACGATGGCACCGCGGAGATTACCGCCGCCCAGACGAGGGGCAAGCGCGGAGATGGAGGGAGAGCCGAAGCACCACAAGGGCGGCAAGGGAAAAGGGGCGGCCCAGCGGTGCGCAGCAGGGGCCAGCGCCAAAGCAGCGGGCAGCCCGTCTTCGTCAGCGGCGGCGTCGACGGGAGGGGGCGGCGGAGGCGGGGGGGGGCGGGCGCAGCCCGCCCGCCGGCGAGTCCTTCGCGGGAGACGACTACGAGGAGTTCGACCTGAGAGGGTGCATCAACGGGCATCAAAGATTGGCCCTTCGCTCCGCGGCAGAGATCAGAGACGCGAGCCTAATGACATCGGACTTCTACCTCTTGCCAGTCAGCAATCTCGCGCGCGCTTCGGAAGGCAGAGCTGCGGGAACCAGGTCAGAGAGAAGGGCGAGGGGCGCAAGATGGGGCCGCCAGGTGTTCGCACGGGTTTGGCGCTTATGGAAGGCATGCAGGAGATGGTGTCGGAATGGCAGAGGGAAGACGAAACGACAGTGCCAGAGCCGATAGACAGAGCCCTGGACGCGCTGAACTATTTCCTGAAGCTGATGGGGGGCAACAGCGAGCACAACCAGGCAATTATCATGGAGACGGTCTAGATGCGCAAGGCCAGCGAGAGCTACGAGGCACGCAACAGCAAGAACAGGAACCCGAACGAGGACAAGGAGTTTTGCGAGGAGGGGTTCGGTAAGATCCAGATCGGCATCAACGAAGCCCCCAACTTCAGAGCAGTTCCCCCGAACAACGCGAGGGAAGACACCTGGGCGAAGCTGGGCCAGTTCGCGGGCCACAACCCGAGGATAGCGATGGTTACGCTGATCGTCCACGTGGGAGGCAAGTCCCTGTCGGCGGCGCCCACGTCGGAGTTGGAGTGGATCGCGGAGCGGGAACTTCTGCGTCGGCGCCGCTGAGCACGGAAGAAGTGGTGACATTAGCGAGGTTTCCTCGGAGTGCTGCACCACAGAGTCTCGAGGAGGTGGTGGCATTAGCGAGGTTTTCGCGGCGCGCTGCACCGCGGAGCTCGGAAGGGGTGGTTGCATTAGCCAGGTCATCTCGAAGTGCAAAGACCCCAGGGCAGTGTGCCGGGCCGCGGCCGACGCGGACAAGCACGCACACGGCACCAGCATCGGCGTCAACATCGCGCAATGAGGGGACTGCCTCTGGGGAGCCCCACCTGGGGCAATTGGGCATAGCTGGAGTGACCAACAGCGTTCAGAAGAGAAAGAGAGACCTTTCCGTTGATGAAAGAATAGCAGAATCGATCAGCATGGACGTTGAACGCCCCACCAAATTCAAACGTTTCGCCCCAAATGGTAGAGACGGAGGTGAGGGGGTGAGATCGAAGTGGAACGGAGAGCCCCCCGACCGGGAAATCGATTTCGGTTTCGTGTTCGTGCGTGCCGTGCGTGTGGGCGAGGCGAAGCTGCGTGGGCGGGCGAGAGGAAAGTCTCCTGTGGCTGAGGCGCGGCCGGACCAAATGATTCCCTTCCGGCAACCGGTGGCGAGCGGTGCCCCGCCGGTGTCCCGCTGTGGCTGAGGCGCGGCCGGACCAAATAATTCCCTTCCGGCAACCGGTGGCGCGCGGTGTCCCGCTGGTGTCCCGTCGGTGCCCCGATGATGACGGTGATGACGATGACGACGACGATGATGATGATGATGATGATGATGACTCCGATGGTGATGATAATGATGATGATGATGATGGTGATGATAGTGATGATGATGATGATCACGCTGATGATGCTGGTGATGATTGTGACCATGGTGATGATGGTGACGAAGGTGATGATGGTGATGATGGTGATGGTGGTGATTATGATGGTGATGATGCTGATGATGGTGATGATGATGGTGGTGATGATGGTGGTGATGATGATGATGTCGTTGATGATGATGTTGATGTTGATGATGATGATGATGACGTCGATTGTGAGATCGACCGTGAGGTCAATAGTCGATAGTTGGATCTATAGTGAGACCGAATGGGAGATCGAATGTGTGATCGATAGCGAGATCGATTGTGGGATCGAAAGTCAGATCGATTGTGATCGATCGAATGAGATCGATAGTGAGATCCAGTGTCCCGCCAGTATCCAGTCGGTGTCCCGATGGTGACGGTGATGATGATGACGATGATGATGATGATTCCGACCATGATGGTAATGATGGTGATGAGGGTGATGATGACGATGATGTTGATGGTGATGATGGTGATGATCGTGATGATGGTGATGATGGTGATGATGTTGATGATGGTGCTGATGGTGCTGATCGTGATGAGGACAATGGTGATGATGATGACGATGATGATCATGATGTTGATGTTGATGATGATGATGATGATGATGATGATGATGACGTCGATTGTGAGATCTATTGTGAAATCGATATTGGGATCGATTGTTGGATCGAATGAGAGATCGGTTCTGAGATCGATGGTGGGACCGATTGTGAGATCGATCGTCAGATCGATTGTGAGATCGATCGAATGAGATCGATAGTGAGATCTGGTGTCCCGCTGGTGTCCCGTCGGTGTCCCGATGATGACGGTGATGATGATGATGACGATGGTGATGATTATGATGCTGATGGTGATGATGGTGATGATGATGGCGATGATGCGGATGGTGATGATGGTGATGATGGTGATGCTGGTGATGCTGGTGATGCGAGTGATGATGGTGGTGGTGGTGATGATGGTGATGATGTTGATAAGGATGTTGGTGATGATGAGGGTGATGACGTTGATGATGATGATCATGATGTTGATGTTGATGATGATGATGATGACGTCGATTGTGAGATCTATTGTGAAATCGATAGTGAGATCGATGGAGAGATCGATTTTGGGAGCGATGGTGAGATCGATTGTGAGATCGATCGTCAGATCGATTGTGAGATCGATCGAATGAGATCGATAGCGAGATCGATTGTGAGACCGAATGTGAGATCGATCGTCAGATCGATTGTGAGATCGTTCGAATGAAACAGATCGAGCGAGATCGATTGTGAGATTGATCGAATGAGATCGATCGAGCGAGACCGATAGTGAGATCGAAAGTGAGATCGATAGTCAGACCGATCGAGTGAGACGTTGGGCCCCCCCCCCCCGAACCTCCTTATCACCCGAAGGGTGGTCGTATGGGCACGCGAAATTGCCTTGGGGCCCCGAGCAGAACGGCGAGCTGAATTATAGAGAAACGCCGAGGTAAAAAAGGCCTGCTTGGCAACATCCAGCCCGCCCAACTCAGCCAGTGTGTGTATATATATATATATATATATATATATATATATATATATAACGCGTCATCTGCGAAGGCGACGCGGTGCGTTCCCCTCTCCCTCTCTCGATTACTGATGCGGTGGGATGGCGAGCGGGGCGCTCTGCGCGCAGTGCAGCATGCGCGCGACGTTGACGGGCCGCGGTCAATGGGGGGGGGAGATGGGCACGGAGTGCGAGGCACTGTGAGGGCGCAGTGCAGTTGGGAATTCAATGCTATATCAGCGGGGGGAGATGGGACCAAATATCAGAGGTACTACTGGCATATCGGGGATGTTGGGCTGCTGGGATTGCACAGCTCTTTCTGTTTTGTTGTTCTCTCTCTCTCTCTCTCTCTCTCTCTATCTCTCTATATCTCTCTCTCTTTTTGTTTTCTCTCTCTCTCTCTCTCTTTCTCTCTCTCTCTCTCTCTCTCTCTCTCTCTCTCTCTCTCCCTCTCTCTCTCTCTCTCTCTCCATAGCTCACCCTCGGTCGCCGCAGCTGATCTGGCTCAACGCAAGCCCAGGCGAGCAGTGCGACGCATTGGCGAGGTTTCTCGTCGGAGTTTGTTGCACCCGCGGGCTATGGCCTTTACGACCAGCAGTCGACCATGGCCTTGCGGGCGATGCAACGAGGGGTACCAGTGCTACAAGATGGTCGAAAGTCGCAGAGAGCATGCCAGAGACGAGCCAGGCCACGAGAAGGACCCGGGGGGCAAAGGCAGCGAATGGAAAAGGGCATGCATCGATTGCGAGCTGGAGCTGAGGGAGGCGGAGTGGGAGGACTGGGGCACATAAGAAATGGCGCTGCGCGGAGGAGAAACACATGCTGCGAGAGAGCAGGCCTGCCGAGAGCAAACGCGGAAGGCGATTGGAGCTGCGCGGGTGGCCCGGGCACTCGGACAAATCAAAGTTACCCAGATTCAGCTGGCAGAAGAAGTAGGCCCAAATCAGAAGCCTCGCAATCAAAGAAGACAGATCGCGACCCAGAAGTCCAAGGAGATGGCGAGGGCGCTGCTGGGAGGTACAAGAATGAATGGAGAAATATTTACAGCCTTCAGCAAAGCAGGAGGGGTAATGACGAAGGCCCTTCGATGCGCAGAAGAATTCGGCATCCTGCTCCAAAAGTACATGGCCATGGACGCGAACGACGACGACGCGCTGAAGATGGCGAAACAGGAGTTGGAGGAGAGAGACAGAGAGACAGAGAGAGAAATATAGAGAGAGGGAGAGAGAAATAGAGAGAGAGAGAGAGAAAGAGACCCGCGGGATGGGCGACAACAAGACGGCGAAGGCGAAGTGCGAGCAGCAGCCAGAGCATCTCAAGTCGCTGGACGTCGTGGACAAGTGGAGCGACAACATGCAGCTGTTCAACGTACGCAAGAGGGGCGCTGGATGGGACATGAAAGGGGGGGGGGGGGAACGGGGGGAGCTTGCTCGCGCGGGCTCGCGTTCCTGAACAAGCTGTGGTGGAGAGGCCCCGGCCCCAACTCGAAGAGCGACGGGTGGCAGTTCTGGTGCAAGGTGGACTGGGCGCAGCTAGTGAAAACGCAGGATAATTACTCAAAGGACGTGCTCTTGGCGGAATGGGCAGACAAAATGAGAGACGTGCTTGGACCAGACTACGAGCAATGGCCAAATATCGGGTGCGAGAGCAAGTTCTGGAGCTCAAAGTGGGAGACGTGCGGCAAGCGCTCATTGCGGAAAGGCTGCCGCGGCATTCTGACGACGCCATCGAGGGGTGCCACTGCGAGTTCTTCGACGCGGCCAGGGAGATGGGCCCAGACGAGCTATTCGATGTGCTCCCTTTCCCGATGACGCGCAAGATCGAAGGCTGCGACCTCGTCGCGAGGTGCCCAGTGGACCAATGGGAGAGACAGGGGGGACCAATGTGCAGAGCCGGTGCGAGCTAGCGCTGAAGATCGCGAGGGACGATGAGGAGAACCTCAACAAAGTAATGAAAGTCGCCATGGGGGAGTTGAAGGAAGAGGACAACATAGGCCCAGAGGAAGTGAAGAGGCGGAAGGGGCGCCAGAAGCTCGAGGACAGCGCCCAGACCACGCTGGACGGTGCCGAGATCTTCGCGGAGAAGTTCGGCTACCCCCAGTCGGAGGAGACAGCGACGGCCAGCTCAAGCGGCCACCAGTGAGTGCACCCACTGGGGCCAGCAGATTGCCAAAAGAAAGCATTCGCGAGGTTTCTCGGAGCGCTGATCCTCGCAAGTTGTGAGCTGGCCGTGCCGACAGGCAGCCAGGGGAAGCGCTAGCGAGGTTTCTCGGGGCGCTACTCATGGCAGTCTACGTGGGCACAACAGTACGCCTGCACTGCAATCGCAATGGGAAGTCTTTTTTGGAGCACCTTCAGGTGCACATCTGCAGGGTTGGAGGAGAAACGTATGATCATCATGATGCCCACCTGGGTGCTCCTCACTGGCCCTACTTATGACCGTGACTTCCAGTGTGCTCTACCTCGCGCACCACGAGGGGGACATGGGCTACCTCGCCGGATAGAGCACATGATATCACATGGAGCATCTCTCGGAACGACCGAGACGTGATCTGAGTGGAAGAGGGGGGCACGGAATTCAGAATGTCGAATTCGTAGGAGCCCCCCCACCAACAGTTTGGGGTCTCGGGCCTTCCGTCTCTCCCCTCTCTCCTCCGTTGAGGTCGCGTCGTCGTCTCTCCCCCCCTTGGCGTGGGCGCCCTGCTGAGCCCGCGCGCCCCCCTCCCCAAGGGCGCGAGGAAGGGCCAGCAGCTGCTCCCCCCGCTGGCCCGATGGGATTCGCGATGTAATGTAGTGAGCCTCTCTTACGGGGCCACGTCGGAGCTCGGTCATGCCCCCATTCGTTGCCGCTGTCGCGATAGAAGCGTTCACAGAGCTCGGGCCCCAGGAAATAGCCAAGCCGGGGAAGTCCGCGCTCTTCTTTCTGTTTCGGGGTCCGGCGCCACGCAAGGTTCATGATTTTCCCACATGCTTTAGCCTTGATCACCAGAAATAATTTAGAGCACCAAGAAAGTACCGAAACGGGAGGGTGTTCCCGTGTCGGGCCCTGGGAGGCGATATTCGTTCGACCTTGTTCCTTACCTAGGCTCTGCCTAGAAGGTTTCTTACTCTCTTTGCTTAAAGGGGCCGGGCAGTGTTCCCCGCCCCGGGCGGTTCCCCCAGGATCCGCCCCGCGGTTACCCCAGTTGCGCCCCCTGGGCTCACACAGCTAAGCTAAGCTAAGCTAAGCTAAGTTAAGCTAAGCTAGGCTCGGTTAGGCAAAGCTAAGCTAAGATGAGATAAGCTAAGCTAAGCTAAGATGAAATAGGGTAAGCTGAACTAAGCTAAGCTAAGCTAAGCTAAGCTAAACTTAGCTTAGCTTAGCTTAGCTTGGTTTAGCTTAGCTTAGCTTAGCTTAGCTTAGCTTAGCCTCGCTTAACTTAGTTTAGCTTAGCATAGCATAGCTTAACTTACACTAGCTTAGCTTAGCGCATCGCAGCATAGCGCAGCGCAGCATTAGCGCAGCATAGCATAGCATAGCACAGCGCAGCATAGCATAGCATAGCATAGTTCAGCATATCATATCATAGCAAAGCATTGTATAGCATCGCGCAGCATAGCACAGCATACCATAATATAACATCACATAGCATTGCTTAGCATAGCACAGCGCAGCATAGCAGAGCATTGCATAGCATCGCGCAGCATAGCATAGCATATCATAATATAACATAGCATAGCATTGCTTAGCATAACACAGCGCAGCATAGCCTAGCAGAGCACATCATAGTATAGTATAGTATAGCATACCATAGCATATCAGATCATAGTGCATCATAACATATCATAACATAGCATAGCATAACATAGCGCATCATTGCATATCACAGCATAGCCTAGCATATCATAGCATATCGCAACATAGCATAGCATAGCATATATCCTAAATGCATCGCATAGCATAGCATAGCATAGCATAGCGTAGATGATGCTTTCCTAAATGCTCCAACTCCTAGGTCGGGTCGCACTGGGATAATTTCTTTATTTTCCGGGTGCTCGAACTTATTTCCGGGATGTGGCCCTTAAGTACGATGGGAACAACGTAGCACAAGGCTCGTAATCACTTCATCCTCGAAGTGCGCAATGCCGTGCTTGCGCGCGCGCGTGCCGTAGGCATGATTGTAGCGTTGCACCGTGCTCAAGAGCGCGTTCGCCTCGGCGCCAGACACGACACGTCGGCGCTTACGGGGTCCAGAGTTCGCTCATCGAGCGAACGGGTGCCACCGGGGCTGGAAGCTTTCCGTTCCAGGGCACTCCAGCACACGGCCATCCAGCGGCACGTGTGCCTCACCTTCTCGGATTCGCTAGTTGACTTGGGGTGTCTACTTCAATCCAACACCTGGTGGTGCTTGCCAGAAGCACAGTGCATACAACATCAGGAATGGTCGGTTGGATGCTATCGCTCCATTGTACGTCTGCCGCGTCAGGGCGACACGGCTGTAAACCAACAGCACGCCATGTCGATTGTAAGCCGCCCGCCGTGCAGCGCTACTATCTGCTTATAGGCTTCGGTTTTTTCAAGCCGCCTCCTATTTCCTGGTCCTCATCATATCGTCGCCCTCATCAAGTCCGGTCTCAGGGGCTGCCCAAGGTCCTGGGGCGACATGAGATAGTGGGAATCTTCGGTGGCTGCAGCTATTTACCAGTCGGTTCCACGACTACCCCGACCCCATCGATGACCTATCCATTTTGGAAGTCGACGCTACGAGACCTGCAGCCTTGTGGAAGTACGCGTTTCGCCAGGCACTTGCAGCTCACGTCAGTCTTTTGCAGCGAGAGTCTCTCGCCAAGAATATCGAAACGGAGATTGTCAAGATGTTTGGGTCTGCAGGAGTCCCTTTGGCATGTATGTGGTGTGCTCAGAAGTTCGACGGGACTAGAGGCTTCAGAGCGCACACCAGTCGAGTTCATCACACACACACACACCCGTGCATGTCATTCGTACGACGCAACGCCCAGGGTTAAACTGTGCCGCGTGTCTTCAGCAGTTTGCGCACAGGTCTGCATTCTCGGCACCCGTGGCGTTCGACTCGGCCAAGTGTGCCGTGAGCTCCATGCGAACAGGTAAGCGATGCTCAGCTGAAGAGGTATAGCCACCTTGAACGCTCAGAGCGTTTGAATGCCCAACGTGGAGCAGGTCATGGCATGATGAGGGCTGTGGTCCTAGGGTGCAGAGCTACAGGTCAGACTTGGCAGGACAGCATGGACAAGCCAGGCTGACAGCTCAAAGAGGTTCAGCAGCTGCTCTCGGAGTCCGGCTACGCGTTCCCGCCGATCCTACCCTCCCACCGTCCCGTGTCCAATGCCCCCCAGTGTCCAGTGCCCAATGTCCAAGACCCAGTGCAAAAGTGTCTACGCTCTCCCCCCAGTTTCCAGCGACCCCCCCCTCCTCGTCCTCGTCCTCATCCTCCTTCTCCTCAGCCTCATCTTCCTCCTCCGCCTCCTCCTCCTCAGCCTCCTCCTCCTCAGCCTCCTCCTCCTCATCCTTCTCTTCCTCCTCCTCCTCCTCCTCCTCTTTCTCCTCTTCGTTGGCCAGACTGTGAGCGATTGAGCTCGCACCGTCCTTCTCCTACTTTTCCTCCTCCTCCTCCTCCTCCTCGGCCTCCGCCTCCTCCTCCTCCTCTTCCTCCTCCTCCTCCTCCTCCTCGTCCTCCTCATCATCCTCATCATCATCCTCTTCAACCTCCTGCTCCTCCTCCTCCTCCTCTCCTCCTCCTCCTTCTCCTCCTCCTCCTCCTCCCTCCTCCTCCTCCCTCCTCCTCCTCCTCCTCCTCCTCCTCCTCCTCCTCCTCCTCCTCCTCCTCCTCCTCCTCCTCCTCCCTCCTCCCCCCCCTCCCCCCGTTCTGGCAGCCCTGCAGGAGCCGCTGCCGGCGCTGTGCGGGTCTGCCGGCAGCATGTGGCCGCGGGTCTGCCAAAAGCTACAGAGGCCCTGGGCCTTCGCGGTGGCCCCCTCCTCGGTCGACCGGAGACGCGCCCTGGGTCAATCCGGGGACCTGCGAGGACGAGGACGCGGAGGGGGAAGGCGAGGCGGAGAAGAAGCCAGCGGGAGGTGGCGACAGAAGGAGGAGGCGGGGGAGGCGGAGGAGGAGGAGGAGGAATAGGAGGAGGGGGATGGAGGGAGAGGAGGAGGAGGAGGAGGAGGAGGAGGAGGAGGAGGAGGAGGAGGAGGAGGAGGAGGAGGAGGAGGAGGAGGGGGAGGAGGAGGAGGAGGAGGAGGGGGAAGACGAGGAGGAGGACGAGGAGGAAGAGGAGGAGGAGAACGTTGCGAGCTCAGTCGCTCAGGGTCTTTCCAACAGAACATCAGGAGGAAAGATGGAGGGGGGACGGAGGGAGTGAGGGAGACAGGGTCGGACGGTGTGGGACGGACGGGTAGGGACACCCGGCAAGGCGAAAGCGCCGAATATATGGTTTACGACCCTAACCATGTTTAACGTCGGGCGGGTTGGCCACTTCTACACAGGCTCCCACCATTCCCGTTGTACCCGCGATTATGCCTCTCAGCGGCACCAACGCACATTGAGCGGTTGCAGCACTTAAGCTCAACCATCGCAGGTAAATCCCACGAGAAAACGACAGCCAAATTTCACCTCCGAAGGCGACCGTTGCCTCCTGAATACAAGTCACGCCTTGCACCCCAGAAGCAGCAGCCGCACATGCCGCCCAGAAATACTCCAGTCGAAATGCGGTATCGCCCTGAGTCGACCACGAACTCCCTCAATCAGTGAACCCATCCAGTGAAGGGAAATTTACAAATTGTGGTCATGATGTCCAGCGAAAGTGTCAGCCTGCTCGGTGCCCTTCGTCCTTTGCCTTGCACCAGCTGCTGACAGCGACATCGCGACAATGCGAGGCCGACCCAACGCCCTTCGCACGCTGAGTGGAGCTCCAGGACGGGCTCGGAGCGCCAACGGTGAGCCAGGCGGCAACCGAAATGCTCGAGCCTTTTGGCCTGAGTAGAGCGAGGGAGAGATGAGGGGGAGGGAGGGAGGGAGGGAGGGAGGGAGGGAGGGAGGGAGGGAGGGGAGAAAGCGAATGAGGGTGGGATTGTGGCTCTTATGGGTCGACCATCTCTGCGTGGGGTCGGGCGTATTGTTCCCTGCCACCCCCTATATCGCATCCCCTACCCTTCGGTCTTTACTCCTCCTCATCCTCCTGCTCCTCCTCCTCCTCCTCCTCCTGCTTCTCCTCCTTCTCCTCCTCCTTTTGCAGAATAAAAAATTAAGGAGGCAAGGGGATTAAGACCCAGCAGGAGGCAAGAGGACTAATGAGGCTGAGGATCATGGATCCAGGAGGGAGGCAAGAGGACTCAGGATTCAGGATTCAGGCTTGCTCTGCGAGGGAGGATAAAAGGGGTAGGCAAGAGGATTAAGGATTCAGGACTGGCCCGCCTCCGAGGAGGCATGCCTGGAAATCGGGCGGGCGCGGCAAAAAGGAGCCGGGTCCACCAGCGAGCGAAGGGCCGAGCAGGGCTCAAGGAGTGACCGCAGCGCAAGCCATGACGGAGGAGGACACTCGTAAGGGCATCCTGGCAATCACAGACGGTGGGACATTCGCAAACATTCGAAGAATAAGCAACGGCATAACCATTAAAGCTTTTGGTGCTCCGCGCGGACCTCTTGGATCCGCGCTGGGACCCTACTCGCGCCAGGGACGGGGGGTCGGGCTCAGATCCAAGAAGTCCCCGCGCGGAGCGCCAACAAGTGTATGTGTGTTGTTTGGTACTCCTGGAGAAAGCCCCGAACCTATGCCACCACCCGGGCTTGTGGACACCTCAGCGATGTCCTTCGCGAGGCTGGCAGGGGCGGCGGCCGCCTCCGAGTCCAGCGCTGGTCGTTATCAGCGCAGCACTGCACGCGGTGCCGCCATCTCGCAGGCGGGCTCCGAGCAGCCGACTAACGCACCGCCCTGCGCGAAGCACGTGCCGTCGCACGGGTGGCACACACGTTGGAGGGGACCTCTCAAGCTTTCGTCAGGCCTGCGCAGGGTCCATAAGAGCACGAATGCAGCTGAGCACATGAGGGCGTGCGGGCAGCTATGGAACTCGGACATGCAGAAGCAAGGTGCGGACGACGCTGCAAAGCCCTAGGAGAGCAGAGCATTGACAGCGCGAGCACCAAATCTGCAAGTGACCCGGGAGCCTTCACGCCATGCCCACGAGCGTTGCTCCACCCCAGCGGGTGTGGGCAGGGGACGCGCTAAGTGCACACAGGGCAATTCCAGTCAAAGGCATCGCCGCCAGGCTGCACGACCTCAGCCAGCGAGTGCCCCTCAGGGCGCTCAGAGCATTCCATGCTCCGCTCGATGTGCGTCGCGCCGAAGCTCCTCCAGCAGGCGCTTCAAGACCCCGTCGGACATAACCTCGGCCGCGTCCCAATCTTGAGCACATCTCCAGTCCAGCGGCCGATCGCGGCACTCGCCCACCTCGGGCGACTGTTCAGACAGCCCTTCGTCCTTGACCAGGTGCTGATCTATAACCGCCTGCTGCAAGATGCCGCGGACGCGCCCGAAAGACAGGTCCTCGCCATCGACGCGGTGTTGATCCAGCACGGTCATGCGCGTGTGCCGACGGCTCGCAGACCTCCCACAGCCCGGCCCTCTCCGAGGGGACGCGTGCA